TGGGTCCATCTGCAATGGCGACTGATAGTGCATCAACCATCGCCACCATATCCGCCGCCTCCAGTAATCATCGATCAGTCAGTTTTTTTATATAGAAATTTAAAAATTGAGGACAATAAGTAGAATAAAAGAAACTCACATGCCCGCTAATGATGTCATATGCTGGATGGCAATGTGTGGATGGTGGTGTGTAGCTGGGGTTGATGAAACGTCGTGTAATACGCTTGTACCACACCATGTACGGATCGTGAGGATCCATAATGCCCTGCATCAGATCACCTCCAACGACGAACTCCAACCGTTGCTGCCATAGCTCAAGGAAACGCCAATGCTCCAGTGACCAGTTTGTCTCCCTCTTTCCCCGACGGTCAAAGCCATGAAGGCGTACACTAGTGTCAGAATGCTGGGGGATAGGCTGGCGTAGTCCAAACTGTCTCATGACTCGGTCGGGTAGGTGACTCTCCACAACCTCGAAACAGATCAGGGGGACCCTGGCATGCCACTCTGCCTGATGATCCAGCAGATATGCAGGCATGACATCTACCAACTCAGGTACATACGGATCCCATGTCATCTGCAATAACACAGCAACAGTAATATCATGAATAGGTTAGTCCACAGATAGTATACACATTACATAAATTTTTACAAGTATCTTTTAAGTTACCACCTGATCCTCAGTGAGTCGGTCTAGGGCGTCTCGGTAGTACGGAAGACCCGTCGCCCCATGTGCATGTGTGAGTCTGGGGACCACCCACCTATGGCAACAAATTGTTTTAGTTTGTCATCCAGCAAAATGAAACCGTATAGGGGCAAAAAAGAATGACAAATGTTACTGACCTACAACCGTACGCCTCATCAAGTGTAGGGAGCGGTGGAGCGATATACGGCTGGTACTGCTTGTTGCTGTCTTGCTGCCCCCGACGATGTACAACAAGCCTACCTGGTCTGCCTACATGGATGTGCTTCCAAGCCCATAACTGTAATACCAAAATACAAAACTATGTTAAGTATAACGTAAGTCATTGCCAAACTAGCTTGTGGATAATTAGGTGGGTTACCTGAAGCACGATCAGAAGTCCTCCGATCTCGACTAAACCACGGTGGGAGGCTCTACACAGGTGGCGATACAACGTCGCCAAACAGGCACTACCCCAGCTGTATCCACGGATATGGTCCCAGTCGTGGTCTAGCAGTTGTAGGTAAATAAGCTGGATATGGCTCCCGCTCTTGTTGCCGAACAACACGCCCGATATGAGGAGGAATAAGTATGCTCGAGCGTGTCTCTGAACTGTGGCGTCATCAGCGTTCCCAGGCAGCGCACAGAAAGTGTCGCTTATCTAGGCGGTCCTCAATCCAGAGCCCCTGATGTCGTCGGGACCCGGCTAAACCCCGAGAACCCGGGCTACCAAACCAGCGGGACCGACTAACGCATGTCCTTTCACAGCAGCCCCATGTATAGGAAGGCGTGTGAGTATCGCGACGTCCCGCAACGTAACGGTCGCCTCCCTAACAGGTAGGTGGAAGGAGTGCGTCTCCTGTCTCCATCTCTCCACTAGCGCAGTGACAAGCGCTCGATCGATCTCCCGAGAACGCCATCCGATGAATACCACCAAAGCCAGCGTAGTCGACGTACGCAATAATGCGTGGATTGACAACCTAGTCGACCATAACCTTGGTAGTGTAGTGCCTGCAAACCAACATCTTTGCTACATCGCCTTGAAAAATCATTGTACGACCGCAATTAATATTAGATAGTACACCAATGTATCAAACAAAAGTACATGAAATAACGGATGAAATATTACCGTTTGGTCCCATATGTCGATGCTCCGATGTCTGTCCTGTAGTGTCAGGACAGAAGGGTCAACAGGTTCGGGTGTCCTATCTTCTCCATCCATGATATTTGTTCATTGAAAACGTTATATACCAAATACCAACACAATTACTGGATTAGCAATTAAACATAAGCTGGAGAAGTTAAAGGCAAAGACAGAAAATAGAAACGATCCAAATGTTACAAATGTTACGAACTTTAGAAAATTTGATACAAATTAAATCTACTTTCTACTACTACAACAAATAACAAATACAAACTTAGGTCTTATGTCGGTCTAGATGGACACGTTGTCCGGTTGTGACCCTGCTGGTGACAGCGGCTGCATTTGCTCGGGGGCCGGTTAGTCTCATCCATTTCATTGCGTATGCGCTTTGACCTTGCATTGGCCGCCCTTTTCCACGTACCATGCTGCCGTCAGGAATGAGTTTAGGGCCAACGTACTGCGTCCAGGTTGTCTCGCAGGGGATAGGCTAGAGTTGTGGTGCGTAGGTGTTCGTGTAGGCCTCCGATTGCAGTACAGGGTCCACCCACGGCCGCTCTGATAGTGAATACGTCGCACAAACTGCTCGAACATGAGAACATGGAAGGTGGAATATCTTTGGTTTGTTGCATGTACACGTTCTCAACTGAAAGTTAACAGTATGTTTATGGCCTCCTTCACTACCAAGTCGCTCTCCCCTTTCTGTTGTAACTTGGTAAATATGCAATCGGCGGTTATACGCATCCACTCTGTGATATCTGGCTTTTGCGGTGTTCTTCTCCAGAATGGCAGTGACCTTGGGGGGGTATGCGAGTCCCTGTTCAGACTTAGCCTCAGAAGACTCTCTTCTCAAAGTGAAATACCTGTAAACTCTGTGGAAAGTTAACTCGACAAGGGACATGATCGGTAAAAACCGAGCTCCCTTCAACACATTGTTAAATGTTTCAAAGAAGGTATTAGTACATATCCCATATCTGCGACCAGCGTCGTGAAAGAGAGACCACATAGTGAACGGGACTTGAACAATATACTCCATGGCCTTGGCACATGCCTCACCGATGAAACACAGATCAGCTTGAAACTTTCTTTCCTGCCCACCCATCACCACCCTCCACCACATTAAAAAAAAATAACAGAAAAATAAATCCGAAAAATGAGAAATAAAAAACAGAAAAAAAAATCAAAAACAACCACCCACACACCACCACCCTCCACCACCATCTACAATTAAAAAAAAATCCGAAAAATTAACAAAAAAAAAAACAGAAAAAAAAATCTGAATAAATTTTTTTTGCAAACTAGATATAAAAAAAAAAAAAAAAATCAAACCAAATTTTTGAAGAAAATGAAGACATACCTTCAATTCTACCGGAAAAATATCGAATTTAGGCTTTAAAGGTCAAATTCGACCATGAAAACTCTAGATCTAGAGTTTTCATGGTCGAATTTGATCATAAACACCATAATTATTCGTTTGTTGACGAAAATCCGAAAACCCATAGCAATTTGTTGTCGAAAATAAAAAATATAAAATAACCAAGAGGAAAGAGAAGAAGGAGAAAGGTGATGGAGAAAGAAAAGAGCATCGAAAAAGAAGAAGGAGAAGAGAGGCGGAGAGAAGGAGAAAAGAGGCGAAGAGAAGAGGAAAGGAGAGGAGAGAGAAATGAGAAATAAAAGGGGAGGGGGTTCCGGAATACTTAGGGTTTTTTTTTTTTTTTTAAAGTCATAAATCCGTCGGAAGAGCTTAAAATTCCGTCAGAACTTTCCAACGGATTTAAAGTCCCTCGAAATTTTCCTACGGATTCAAAATCTGTAGGAAATTAATATGTTCCGACTGATTTTTTTTCCCTCGGAATTGTTTTTTCCCTCGGAATTTACAGCTTCCGACGGAAATTTCCGTCGGAAGCAATTTTCCGAGAGAAATTTCCGTCGGAAGCAGTAAATTCCGAGAGAAAAAAAATCCGTCGGAATATTTCCGAGGGATTTTCCGTCGGAACTTACATTTTCCAGCGGAATTTTCCGACAGATCCAAATTCCGTCGGAAAATTCGAATTTTCTAAGGGAATTTCAGTCCGTCGGAACGATTCCGTCGGAATATGACCTATTTCTAGTAGTGATATTCTACATAACAACCAAAACACATTACACTTAAATGCACTAAATCATCCCTGAATCGCCATAATTAAACAACAATATACATACTTGTCAAATTAACACAGTTTAGAAGCCCTAAATCAACATTATCAAACAACAATGTAGGTTATTTCAATCACTCAAAAACCAACAATTATCAACCATTATCAACAATTATCAACATTATCAACAATATCAACAATTATCTACACTAACAATTCAACATTTCCAACAATTTTTTACACTAACAATTCAACAATACCAACAATTATCAACACTAACAATTCAACATAATCAACAATAAAAATTCAACATTATCAACACTAACAATTCAACATTATCAACACTAACAATTCAACATTATTAAGATTGTAACCACAATTCCAAAAACAAAAAAACCATTAAAAAAACCCTAGATTTTAAAAACCAAAGAAAGAGAGGGCAAGTACCAAAATCGGGGTGATGTGAGGCTACTCGGGGCTGTCGGCGGCCTGTAGTTGGCAGGCGGTCGTCGGAGGGTGGCGGCGGTGGTTGGTGGGCTTTGGGTTGCTTCACAGAGCTTGAGTGAGAGAGGGATAGGGGATTGAAATGAGGGAATGCGAGGAAGAACAGGGGAATGAGAGGAAGAACACACTGCTTCTGTTCAGCGATAAAAACGCTGACTGAGGTAGCGTTTCATTAAACAGGTAAAACGCTGCCTCAGATAGCGGTTTACCTTATTTAAATTTTTTTTTTCACAATTCCAGCTTAACAGGTTACGATTTTTTTTTATAAAAAAAAGGTCAAAAGGTAAAACGCTGTCCCAGACCGCGTTTTACAAATTGATTTTTTTTTTTTTAAAAAAACCAGGACATAAAACGCTGTCCGAAACATCGTTTTACCCTGCAAGCTTCGTTTGGTAAATAGTTTTGCCACGCAACTAATTTGTAAAATTGTTTTACAATTAGACTCACTTTGGGGAAAAATCCTATTTCTTCACTATACCATCGACTACATCGAATGACATTGCGACATGTCAGCAAAACCACGTCTATTTTAACACTTTTAGCACATTCCCAATTTCCCACTCTATGATCCCTTCCCCTTTTATTAATTTTCCGCTTCTCTTTCGTTCTTCACATTTCGAAAATTCTCCCCTTTCAATTCTCAATCTGCAACTTCAGAGATTTTGACAATGGCGGCTTCAATCAATCAATTAGGGTTTGTAATTTTCGCTATGATGCTTGTTTCATGTTCAATCTCAGCAATGGCGGATTCAGAATCAGCGTTTATTGTAGCTCACAAGAAGGCTACCCTCACAAAGCTCAGCAATGGCGTTGAACGTATCTCCGTTTCTATCGACCTCTACAATCGTGGATCTTTGTATGCGTTTTCTCTTTCTCCTGTTTCTGCATTTGCTGCTATGATTTTGGATCTTGTTTGCGTTTTAATTTCCGTTGTTTTGAATTTCATAATTGAATTTTGTTTTTTGTGTTTGATTTTTTTTTTTTTTTTTTTTTTGTTTGCATGTTGATTTGGAGGAGGTAATAGTGTTGGAAATGAATTTCGGTTTCAATTGCGTATTTTAATCTTGAAATTTGTGCACTTGTTTGATTTTGTGAGTTTGCTGTTGAGAAATACTGTAGTTTATTTGTAAGGTTGAATTGCTAGTAGTAATCCTGTAAATTATAAAAGTACCTGCATTTTTATCTTTCGAGAAGCATTGTGTCATATGAATTACTGCATTAGCTAGTACTGAAAAACTGTGAACATTTATATGAAAAAACTATTGTCATTGTTATATTGAGTATGTTACGGTTATGATTGCGAGCGGAAGCAAATAAATCCATGGACAATAAGCCCCGAAATCCAGAAAATAGGAGTACAGAGGAGCATAAGAACCCTGAATTACCAGAGTGAAAAATAATTTTACAACTCTCAAGGTTTATGAAAAATTTCACAAAGATCTGATTGGCTATTTGGCTTGTGATTGCCTCGTAATTGGCTCTTGTGGTGAATGCCCAAAATCATATTTCTATTAGATCCTAATGACTATAATAGGCTCTTGTGAGCTTCAGAGACTATAAGCTCTCTTGTGTATGTTAGGGGGTTTCTCTTTTCTTTCTCCCATTCTTATTTCTGTCTTAAGGAAAAAGCGCGTTATTGTAAACATGGTTTGTAGTTTTGATGATGTAATGACCAAAGTTTACAATTTTGTTCCCCAATGATTGAAATTGGAGCAATGCGTTAAGTAATAATAATAGAATTGCATTTTTGTTAGACCTTCTTCTTTTTCTTGAACGCCTTAATCCAATAAGTGGGATCGGCTACATGAACCAACATGTGGACTTCCAGGAGGTCACCAATCCTAGTACTACTCTCAATCATTGTAGCCTCAACAAAATGAACCAACATGAACTTATATTATGATATCAATTCATAAATGGAATTGCAATTACCTCAAGTACAAGTCTGTTAAAAATAAGTATCAGCTGTTTTGACATGAACCCTCTACATATTCTAGAAGCGAAGAAATTTGAAATTTGGCTCCATCTCACTTGTTTATTTTATACACGATTCTTGAAACATTCGTTACATTTGGTATTTTGGCAAATGATTAGAAGCGAATTTTGCGATGGAGCTCATTCCTCTCTCCCTTAGTAGAAGTCTGATACATGCTTATTTTCGATAATTATGTTCAGAACTGTGTACGATGTAAGCCTTGTTGACAACAGCTGGCCTGTGGACTCATTTGACGTAGTCAGTGGAAACTTTTCAAGATCATGGGACAGCCTCGATGCGTGAGTTTTAATTTATTAAGCATATTATTCTGCGAGTTCCTAAGTCATGAGTCTGCTCACTGATCATTATTATTCAGTGGAGCTATTTTTTCTCACTCCATTGAGCTGGAGCCAAGAGTAAAAGGTATATTTCAGGGTAGCCCAGCTGTGATTACATTCCGCATTCCCAACAAGGCTGCACCCGTGGTATGCACTTCTTGAAAATGCTAAATGTACTGTTGGTTTTCTTGTTTGCTGACCGTTGTAGCTAATAATCTATATTCTTTTCAGGTTGCATACTCTACCCCCATTTTCCCATTGAACATGCTTGCAGATACTACACCAGAGAACAAGCTTGAATTGGTAATCTTTCAAAATTTGTCGGTGTATCAAGTTCTTTGAGTTTGTGTTCATTTGCCTTCCATATTGGTTTAAATGTGTTTTTTGTTCATCTTTTTATAACTTATGTGGGCATTGACTAAGCTGATGTATACATGTTTTTCTCTGTGAATAATTTGCTGCTGGTGGTGGGCTGGTGGCTACCAACTTTCTCAGGCAAAGGTTAGTTTTGTGCTTCTAATTACTTCGTGCAATAACTTCCGAAGGAATGCCTCTAGTCTTGAAATTTTTGATGGATTATCAAGCTTTACCTACTAACTTGCAAACCCCCTGTTTGCATTCCTATGTTTGAAGTTTTGAACTTCTGATTAGTCTTTCAAGTGTGCTTGGGTTGGTCACCAAATTATAACAATGATCTACCTTACTGGGTAACAGCAAAATAGGTTGCTCTTATCCACCTTTGTTTTTTAGATGTCATCTGATGTATATGCAAATTTAAGTGCTGAACGGCGCTAGTACTTTGTGACTTCATTTGGAATAAGGCAAAGCTCTATACTACACAAGCCACCTCGTTTTTCTTCCCTAGCTCTTCAGTTTTTCCAGTGTTGACTAAAGAACAAGAATTTTAGTGTAGTTGAGTTTTCTAGTGGTTTACAAAGGCTTTGTTGCTCTCACAAGACCATACACATGTGCACTTGGTACTTTATCATGCTTAAATAGTTTTTTAAAAGATTTTTTGGAGGATAAGGTTTCCAATAACCAAATAAAATTTAGAATAAGGAATGCTTCATGTAGTGTTCATGCTGCATTTTCCTCTCCTGCTTGTAGACGCTCCAAAAGGAATGCTTCATTCTATGACATTATTTTAGAGGTTCATGTCATTTGGTGTTTGATACGGATTTGCAGTTGCACTTTTGGGTACTAATTAGTTTGACTAAATTGTTTTCTTACACTATATATTCTTCTTTTTTGCAGAGTCTTCTTGCTCGATTTGGTCCACAGTTTTCTGCAGTTTCTCTTGTAGCTTTGTTTGGATACATGATTGCTACCCCAAAGTCGAATGCTGCCAAGGCACAAAAGAAGAGGCGATGAAGCTATAGCTCTAATAAGATACCAAACAACTAACTGTTTTGGCTTTGCAGCTGGCTTCTTCACTTAATACGAGTATTCTGGCTTCGGTGGCTTAATTCTAACTCAGAATTGAAGGCTGCCTGTTGTAACTGCTCCTCGTGTCCTTTGGATAGTGTTTTCAGTTTCTGTCTAATCTTTTACGTAGTTTCACTCAAATCAAGAACTATTCGGCAGGTTTTATTTTTAAGAAGCTGCCCCAAGTTTGAAATGCATGCGCAAGCGTATTGCAGTTCTTGTGTATCTTTCATGCCGTTTTAAAATGTTTCTTCTGTTACGGTGTGTTTGGATAAAGAAAGGGGTAGGAAAAGAAGGGGAGGGAGGAGAAGAGGAGGGGAGGGAAGAATGGTGAGTTTTCCTTCCAAATCTCTTCATTTTTGGAGAGATCAATTTCCTACAATTTTATCCCTCCATTTCTCTCCCCTTCAATTCTCTTCTTTCCTCATTTGTTATCCAAAATGAATGATACCCTATCGCTCCATTTCCCTTCCCTCCCTTTCCCTCCATTTCTCCTCACGTTAATGCTGTGGATAATACATTCTCTGTCCCTTTATTAAGTGTTTGTTTTCATATATCACGGGTTTTAATGTAAATGAATGAAGTATAAAAAGTATCCGTAACATACATTGAAAATAATTAATTTAGAGTATATTTTGTTGGGAAATTTTCAATTGTGACCTTTAATTTGTGAGACACGGAAACGGTGACCCTCTTGAAAATGAATTTTACAAAATGATCCTATTTAAGAATTTTATCCTACTTATAACCTCATTTTCATAAAAGTTAATTTAAATTAACTATGGTTAAATTTATACTAAAAAAATATAAAAATGGTTAACCAACCACCTTCACCCCACCGAAACCCTTACCCCAATCACCCCTACCACTGCACCTTCTTCCTTATTGAAACCCTAACCATAGCCACCCTATCACCTTCACCCAAACCGAAACCCTAACTCCAGCCACACCACTTCAGTCGAAACTCTAATCGAAGTGGTTTGGGTCGTGGGCTGTGGTTTATTTAATTTGAGTCTGGGCGGAGGAGAGAGAGGGAGGGTCGTGGGTTTGGGCTTCGGTGTGGGCGAAGGAGAAAGAGAGGGGGTCGTGGGTTTGGCATTCTGGGTGGTGGTCGTGGTCAGAGGATAGAGAGGGAGGAGCGGTCGTTGGGGTTTGGTGTTCTGGGTGGGCAATGGGCGGGAAATCATAAGGGGTGAATAGTCGGGGCGGAGCTAGGATATCGGTTGGGTCGCCGCACAAGGAGGGAAAGCTTGGGCGCCGGTGTAGGGCCGAGGAAGATTGGGCACCGCAGGGCCGGTAGTGAAGGGGAGGGGGAGAAGGTGGCCGGCAAGTGGGGGTGGAGGTCGTGGTTGGGGTGCCTGGGTTGGTGGTTGGGTTAATTTCAGGAATTTTTTTTTTTTTTTGTTTTTTTTTTTTTTTTTTTCTCTTTTCTAAAATCTAACCATAGTTAATTTTAACTAAATATTTATGAGAATAAAGTTATAATTGGGATAAAATTCTTTAATAGGGTTATTTTGTATAATTTATTTTCAAGTGGGTCATCATTTTCGTGTCTCACAAGTTGAGGGTTATCATTGAGAATTTTCCTGTATTATTTCCCAATAGAGACAATAATGAAGAAGCATGTGTGAATTAAATGTGGGTACCAATTTGAAGAGTTTTTGCCTTTTGGAAAGTTTAGTATGTTAAAGGTATAAACTATAAAGTGGGGGCCTATAGGTAATTATACATGAAGCAAAATTAGAAATAGACACTTAATTTGAGACACGCAATTAGAAAAAACAGACACTTAATAAAGGGGCGGAGGGAGTAATGTCATTTGCGTTACATTAAAGGCCTTTTTTTCTATCTTGATTCCTATACCTAAATATATCTTTAAGTAATTCTCATAATCCTATCCTATATATAAAGTGAAAGGGGGTTTTGGATGATAAATTTCACTTTTCCAAAATACCACTCTCATTATTTTTTTATTTATTTTTTATTTTTTAAACAAAAAAAAAACTACCATCTTTTTTAAAATAAACAGCACCATCTTGATTTCAAAAAAAAAAAATGAAATATATTTGTGGATGCCCATTATACCCACGTATTATTCCAGAACTTTCTAGGTTTTAGGCTTTATTATTCTCCAAGCAAACCCTATCAATTGTACTGTATATATATATGTACACCTCCATGATATGAAATATAGAATACACATTTTATTCTCTCACAATCTCATATTTTCTCTATATTTTACAACACGTTATTAGCACCACAATCGCAAGGTCGTACATTTGAGGGAACGTCCCACACACATAGCGCTCGTGTCTATCCCGCCGAACTATCGACTCTGATACCAGATTGTTGGGCTCGAGTCACCCACCTTGACGGGTCGCACGCACACTCCACTCCACATCAGTATGATATTATCCGCTTTGGGCCTAGCCCGCACGGATTTGTTTTTGGTCACCTTCCCAAATGGCCTCATACTAATAGAGTGTGCACTCACTTATAAGGAGCTCTTCACCTCATTACTCCTTCCATGTGGAACTTGGGATAAACAACACCAACAAACCTCCCCTCAAACCAAGGATAACATAACTCATGGCCTATCCCTCCAGCGAAACTATCTTGCACCGCCGCTATCACCACGGGACATGCCACCTGATCCACTATATCAGGAGGACTTTCGACGCTAGGCACAATCTTCGATAATGGACATCCAAGGGGGAGTGTTATGAAATATATTTATGGATGTCTATTATACCCATGTATTATTTCGGAACTTTCTAGGTTTTAGGGTTTATTATTTTCCAAGCAAACTCTATCAATTGTACTGTATACACCTCCATGATATGAAATATAGAATACATATTTTATTCTCTCCCCCCCCCCCCAAAAGATAAAAAAAAAATAATAAAAAAAAAAGTTTGGGCAAAAGTTAAATATCTATACAACAAATTTGATTATGAAGTAGTCTTACTTTGTATGAATTAATTATTGATTAGTTATTAATTTTAGGAATATTATTACTGTTTAGTGACTAATTTATGACTTAAAACTTATGACTTAAAAGGTGTAAGAAATTTTAAAGGTTGTTGGATTAATTCCATAACCCCATATGCAAGGATTAGGGGGAGATAGTAATTATTTCATTATTTCATGTAATCCTTGCACATGAATAATAAGATAGATGAATATTAAGATACATTGATGGTCTGTTTGGTACATATATTAGCTTTAGTATCAATAATTTATTTAATAGGGGCGACCACAAAATTATTTAATATTTAGAACGACACCATCCAGATCGAAGATAAATATCAATAGATGTCATTGGCTATATACCAACTATAAATGATTCAATCAAAATTGATGTCAGTGTGTGGGAATGATTTTAGTTTTGATAAATTAATGAAATGTGCATTTGTTAGAGGATTAGGGTATTTGGTGCATTTATTTACAAACCTCAGGGGTACATGATGCATGTGAAAGTTTTAAAGGGTACACGGTTCATTTTTTAAAACCTTGGGGGTACACGGAACAATTTCCCTTAAAAAAAAGCTAGCATCTTGGTTTAATTTCAAAAAAAAAAAAAAAAAAAAAAAACACACACACACACATCCATCTTTTCTTTTATAAATTTTATTTGAGGGAAGTCAAATTTTATTATTTAGCCTACATGATATCATCAACATATTTTTTTAAATAACATATTTTTTATTATATTTTATCAACAATTTTACACACACTAATATTTTTTTTAATTAGAATTAAGGAGATAATATTGTGGAAAAAATAGAGAATCGAGCTTGATAGATTACTTATATTGCACTCTTAGCTTGTAATAATAATAATAATAATAATAATAATAATAATAATAATAATAATAATAATAATAAAATGATTTGTCTAACATTTGTCCATGACACAAGTTAAGTTACAAAAATAAATATATTTTGGCAGTCAATACTCCCTTCGTTAGTAGTCTTGTCTTTTGATAACAGGCACACATACAGACATTGTAGGGAATTTTTCAACTCATCTTTGAGCTCTACCGTGGTTCATACTTATAGGCATAGCGGCGTTTCAAGGAAAAAAAGCTAGAGATGAAAGAGTCGCCAACAAGTTTTAAGAACTTATAAACTGTTCACGGGTGTGAAGGTTACATCCCATTCACGATCATGGAGATCGCTAACTCCATAGTGGTCCGGAACCATGACTGGATATTCGGGAATGATGGTACGAATCCAACCTAAAGAGATTGAACCCGCCCTTAATAAGCCTCTACACAATACTTATGATATTCATGTGCGCTTTTTGATCAACATACATACATCAAATTAATCTTAAACTTGTTTAATCTACGTTGGTTGATTATTAATGCACAAATCAAATCTATTATTGGTGATCACTTGAATTACAATCATATTAACCTAAATCAAATTATTAATTATCTTATTAGGCGTGATTTCAAGTACAAATTCCCTTTGAACCTACAAAAAAGGGCGTGATAAAGCAATAAGAATAAATCATAAATAATCAAGCAACATATGATCAATATAACAATCATCATCATCAAAACATCATTAGTAAGATCCTAGGCATGATACTAAACGAATTAATAACAAATCCTAGCATGTCATTAATAATAAAGTCAAAGCGTTATCCTAAACATGATACTAGAAATCATAAAAACATCCTAAGCATGATACTAGGAATTAAAATAACATCCTAACATGATACTAGAGATCATAATAAGAATCCTAAACATGATACTAGGAATTAAAATAATATTTTAAACATGGTTTCTACTCCAAAGTAAAAAGAATAATTAAGGATGATTGAATTACTCATTTTGATTCCTCAACCTTCTTGCTATTAAAACAATACACACGTTAATAAACTTCAAGAAAGTTAAATCAATAAAGTAAATAAATAAATGTAAATTGAAATATAGATTTGGACCAAACCCTCAGAACTATCAACCTTTCACGTCGAGGTCGAAGGCAACGTCGAGGATGGCTTGGAGTATTCGAATCTCGTGAATGAGGTATTGTGGCTGATTTGGGAGAATATTAAGGATGTGTTTAGGCTAAGGCTAAGAACATGAGGAGAAGAGAGGACTAAGATGATTGATGATGGCTGTGGATGATTTGAAACAGGGTAAAACGACCTCTATTTTTAGGGAAAAAAGAGAGTCTGGACGCTTAGAAAAGATCAAAATTTTGGAATGGAATAAAACAAGTTCCATTGCAATGCGACACAATCAGG